AAAAAAAAAAAAAAAATTAGAATGCCATAAAATAACTATTAGAAATTCAGGTTGAATCTTCAAAAAGATTAGGGTGTTTGTTTTACTGCTGTAAACCCTTTAGACTGCGTGTGGCTGCCACCTTCAAATTGGAAAATCTTGATTTGAAATTAGTGATTCAGATCATCATTTGTGCCTTTTGCTGTTATCTTGATTTCCTACATTTACTTTAATAACTGTTGGGAAGTGTTTTGAACTATAAGCTGGAATACGTTTATGAAACTAATTTCATATTCAAGTTAAATTGTGCTTTCCAGATATTTCCTTTGGGGGATAATTTCGAACGCTTCTTTTAATCACAGTGAAAGAACAAATTACAAAGAATGTCCAAGGATAAATTTGATGGTAAAATTTTTCCCTCAAGTCTGTGTGATCGACAGTACTGTACTTTTCTCATAGATAATTTTAGTTTTATTAACTACTACTGATACCAGCTAATCTAATATAGCATATTCTTGAGTAACTAGAAGTGTTCTTGTTTTTATCAACTGTAGTGTTTTCAGTTTCTGTAAAATTTTCTTCTATGAAAATTTGGCATTTCAGTTAAACTTTTTGTTGATAAGTACAGCATATACCTGTGGAGTAGATGGTACAATATCCAGTATGGAGAAGGAAACAGGCTCAGGATCTAGATTTTTTCCACCTGCAAATTTTTTGTTCACAGCTGTGTTGACATATTTCCAGAGAATCCAGGGCTATACTTTGGTTTGGGAACTTAAGTGCTACCCATCAATTCTGTATGGGAACAAGGAGGACTTTTTTCCTCTATCAACAATTTCAGAGCTTCCCATTTTAACGGGAGTCAGAATTCTTTGGCCCTAGCACATTTGCAGCTTGGCTCCCAGAGAAAGAAGCATGTCTTCTCCATTTCTTTGATTGCAAAGGCAGTATTATCAGAGTTGAGATTTCTTTTGAGCTTTATTATTTTTACTCAACAAAAATTAACCAGTTTATCACCTGTTATAGGAAGTCAGAAAGATGCGTAAGTTGTCATCAGGACTTTCAAAGGGTTTTAAAAATTGGGTTGACAGACGTGTGAAATATTACTTGGATACAAAGCAGCTTTAATTCAGTACAGAGTGATGCAGAAAATGTTATACAGTATAGATGTTTAAGCTGAAGAGTGGTCACATATGAAGATTGGAATAATTAAGGACTTACAGAGGCTAGCCTCAAAATTTGGGTCAGACTTGCATAAAGGGGGAAAATGAGGGAGCCCATTCATAAGCTAGCATGGGCCGCATAGTGTACGTAGAAAATATAGAATATAGTAAGATGAACCACATGTGGAAAGGGCCCAAGGCATACTAATGCCATAGCCATATATACTTAGTGCCTATTTTGTGCCAGTGTTTTGGATGTTTTGCTCATAGTAATGTATTTAATCCTTATAACCTCATGAGATAGAATTTATTGTCCTCTTTTTCAACAAAGGGAAGCCCAGGCATGGAAAGGTTAATTTAGTTTGCTAGCTAATAAATCGATCCTAACTTTATATTTAGATAACCCAGCTTCAAAATCTGAAGTCTTAACCATAATATATAACTTTCATACAGCGTGCTTGAGTGGCAGTGAGTAGAATAATATGACCATATCAGAAGGTCTTTCAAAACACCAACTTTATTCTTTTGCTTTCTTTCCTTTTCTTTCTTTTTTTTGAAACAGGGTTGTGATATGTAGTTGAGGCTGCCTTGAGCTCACTTTGTAGCCCAGGCAGGTCTCAAACTCACAACAGTCCTCTTACCTCAGCCTCCTGAGTGCTGGGATTACAGGCGTGCATCACCATGCCCAGCTTTCCAACTCTTTAAAACCAACTCTTGGGCTGGGGTTTTAGCCAGTAGTACTTACAACCCTGGGTTTGATCCTCAGCAGAACAGAAGGAAAAAAAAAAAAAAAAAATTACACTGTTCCTTGTGTGTAAGGTGCCTCAAAATATATTAGGTTCTGAGCATACCAAGTCATGTAAATAATTACTGTGCAACATAAGCCTTTTTAGAGAACTACACAGAAGTTCATGTGGAGCAGAGATGTTGTGGGGGAATGATGTGGGGAATTTCACAGATGTTTGACCTGGATTCTAAACAGTCAGTAGAGCGAAGGAGGTTCAGGAGGGCATTGACTCGGGAGGAGGGGGAGTGTAGTGTGTGTAAAAGCACAAACTCTGAAAGAACAGAGAGTGGTAGAGGAAGTCTAGTTTTTGTTATTGTGGCTTGAGCTCAGAGTCTAGGTCAGTGACAGTGAACCTTTCAGAGCTTTCATTCATAACAAACAATGGGTTGTGGCACAGTTGCCATAGGTTTGCCACCACTGGTCTAGATGACGCTTTAAAGGTGAAATTGACTTGTGCCTGGAATACAAAGGCCAAGCAAAATGGGGACCTTAAATATTTGCTTTGCAGTTGGAAGACTCCAGAAATCATTTCAGTACGATTGAAATACACATCGGGTTGCTTACAGTTCTCTCTAGAAGTATAGTGAAGTAGTGGCCTACCTCAGCCTCCCGGGTGCTAAGATTACAGGTCCATGCCATCATGTTCAGCAGAATTTTTAAAAATTTATTTATGTATATATTTACTTGCAGAGCTGAGGCTTGAACACAGGACTTCCTGCATCATAAGTAAAGGTTCTACCACTGAACTATACCACAGTTTTTTCTTTTAGGAATAGAAAGACCTGATTATTTATTTATTTATTTGTTTGTTTGATACAGGGTCTCACTATGCAGCTCAGACTTGTAATAATCCTCCCCAGTGCTGGGATTGCAGGAATGTGGCACCATACCCAGGGTTCTGGTACCAGCGATAAAATCTCAGTCCTTGCACTTGCCAGGCAGGTGCTTAGACCACTGAGCTATCTCCCCATCCCTATTTATTTATTCTTAAGACAAGGTCTTGCTAGTACAGACCTTGTCAGGCTGACCTGAGCTCACTCTGTAGCCCAGGCTGGTCTCGAACTCACAGCCTCTGGAGTGTTAGGATTACAGGCATGTGCTTCTGGCTAAAGCTAATTTTTAAGTTCTTAAATAGCTAAAATATTTGACATTATTATTCTGAGCTTTTGAGGAAGAATGACACCTTTACCTAGTGTTTCAGAAAAGCTCATTTACGAAGGTGTTCCAAGTGCTTGGCAGAGAAGAAAGAGACTAGAAGGAGGAAAGCTGGTTATAAGCAGGAGGTAATCACTTCCCAAATTAGATTTGTTGTAAGGATAAGTGGGAAAGATACTGCGGAGAGAGTCCAGGTAACATGTATAACTGAGAAAAGCTAAAATGTAATGAGCAGAAAGAGAATGAGGGACTCTAAAAACAGGCGAGAAGATGATATGTAACTAGAATTAAAAGAAAGGTCAAGCCAGAATTCTTGAAATTATGTGTTTGACGGGAATAGTTGAAAAGTAGGTGCCACGTACTTTATCTTTGGGAGCATTCATAGCTAGGAGATAAAAGCTAACAGGGAATTTATTAGTCAAGGAGACAGGAAGGTGGATAAAGGCATGAATCACTGTATCATGTGGTTACATAGGCTCCAGAAGGGGTTAGAAATTCAGAACCAGCCTAATCGACAGTGTGGAAGGCTTCACGAACACTGGTGATACTGTCCCGAGGCTTTAGGCTCTACTTCCGTTTATTCTGTGGCCGTCTAGTGTATTTTGTGAGATGTAGTGAGAAATATGTTAGCTGATTGATGAAGAATAAGAAAATTACATCTTAATTTACAGTTTAGAGTAGATTTTTTCTTTTTCTTTTTCTTTTTCTTTTTTTTTTTTTTTTTTTTTGACACAAGTTCACCCTGTACAATTTAGGTTGGCTTTAAACTCACTATGTAGCCCAAACTGGCCTTATACTTGCAGTGAAATTCCTTGCCTCGACCTCTTAAGTGCTGGTTATAGGCATGTGCCTCCATGCCCGGCAGATTATTGTTTTAAAGCTACATGTACACATACATAGAGCAGGAACTTCATTTCTTTTAACAGAGTAAATCTTAATTTTAGTCTGCCTCATTAAAATTTGAATGTTCTGCTTCCAGATTTTTAGTAGTCAGTTTTTCCTTTGCTCTAAAGGAGCTTGATTCGGTCATTACTTCTGAGTAGTACATTTCCTACTGGTGTCATCTGCAGTTAAGTGTCTGAGTTGCCAGG